TTTTTTTCGTGTTGAGACCGGTTGAGACTCATTTCAAGGATGATTCTTCGCAGCGGGACACCACGCTTCTCGCCTGAAGTTATGGGGGACGTCAGGAACAAACTAGAATGGAGCCCTACAAAATCTCTGCGACGTTTATCAGCAGAAAATGGGATATCGTATCGGTCGCGCTAGATGGCTGTACGAAAACCGTTACAGCAGTTACGGCTGTGTAAGAATTGATCATGATCAGGCAAAACGTGTTGCCTATTGCAGGTGGTTTCAACAACACATTAGACATTAGAACTGGGTTGCAGATTTTGAATAGAACCTTCTTTACAGATCACGATCCCACTTGTGCCGGTACATCAGCAGACAGAATGCAAGGATTTGGAGGGCAAGAAAGTGAACTTCAGGGAAATATAGACATTTTGGCCACTACCGCAGATCAATAAGCTCCCCTGTGTTTTCCACTGTTTGAATTGAGTCGGATGACAAGCATTCGAAGACGGAGGATGTGGAAGTCGGGAGAGATAAGGCCGTGCACGTGAGGGGATACGGAGACATGCGAGACAGGATGCCTTCACTTGCCATTCACGTGAAGTCGGCATGGTCTCTCAAGGCTAAATTCCACCTTTATCTTCGCCCTCTCGTACGAGCCCGAGCACGTGCGTCGACTAAATGGGGCGATAGGGGGATCCGTTCTGACGTGGCAGCTCGAGCAGAGTCCATACAACTTTATGACTGGCTGGGGTCTGACTTCACGATCCAGAGTGTCGCAATGCATTTTTGTGCCAAAGACTGATCGGCTCAAGTAAAACTGAAAGGATCGTAAGGTTGGTAGCATTAAGAATGCCACAAGAGATTCTTGAGCTGTCTCTTGTTGATGAAGTGTGTTTGAAGCTGTCAATGATAAACCAGCAGCAGGCAATTCCTGTCGAAGTGACTTCAAGGAGTTTATGAAAAGATTGACTCGAGTTTCATTGGCGGAGAGCGCAAAAATGCCTCATGTATACGCTGTAGTCACGTTTTCAGGAGTCAGAAAAGCTCAGGTGATGACCCCCACCCGTTACTCTCTTGTCATTTCATGGACATTTTCAATGAAATTTCATGGAAAGTACTTAAAAGAAGCTGGGAGTCCTATTTCAGGTTCTGTCTGCAGGGCGAGGTAAAGGAAAGACAAGGATTCTCTCTCTTTGGTCAAGGAAAGAGGCAACTGTGAAGTCAATATCTTGAAAATTACAGTACTTTCCTAATTCTTGTCAAAGTAGCATGAGGATCTTCAATGAGATGAGCAGCTTTTTAACACTATTCCTTCGATCGCCAGCATCCTATTACTGCTGGATGAGTTTAGTTCAAGTGTTGACGACTGACACCTTACCGAGATCAATGAATAAGCATTGCATTTGGAGATGAAGAGGAAAAGGGGGGGAAGAGAGAGTAATGCAATTAAATGTCAGTTTTCACATTCAGAGTCGTACATTTTGAACGATTTCTCTCAGCTTCGACGCGCCACGATTGCTACGCCTCCTCCTTTACGAAAAAGCCCTAAAGGAATTGTACAGGAAAATACTATAAGGACCTTAGGGGATATTCTATACAGGGATCCCATAGTGTATTCGCAATAGGAATCCTAATTGAAATTCTAATATTCGAGAACGGAATGGGTTCTTATTTTTACTCTCATCAATCTGAGCCTTCTCTTTCTGTCACGCAGCCAAAAAGTTCTCGCCCTCTCGACTGTCGCTGCCATCCTCCGTCGAGATGGACAAGCCTGGTTTCGTACCGTCGGCAAGCCGGCTGATTTTAATCGTGGGGCCTTCATCTATACTACTGGCGGAAACTGGATACACTGGACAAAATTAAATTTATATTCGTATGAATATTGTTTATTGGATTTGGATCGTATTACAAATTATTATCATAAAAACTTATCGGTAATGTTGCGGTAGTACATTAACAAAAGTGACACTTCGATGGGTATTACCAAATAAGTGAAGTATTAGCAAATAATATAAATTTAGCTTCCAATACAGATTATTTACAAAATCAATCAAGTAATGTGGTACAGTACCCTATGCTAAGAGCTATTAATAGCGTCTAGGGTAGCCCTTCGCATCGATTACAACCTGACACCTACCTGACATTGAGTCAACATGACATTCTAAGTCTCCGAGAGAAATGATACGGGAAGAACCATAGATGATAGCTGTAATCAACGCTTGCTTGTTGCTCGCTTGTTGTGGGGAAACTTCGTTAATTGAGTTGCGGTCTGTTGTTCCCTGGCCGTTCCAGCACCTCCAAATTATTTGCCTCAAACCATGCCATGCATCTTCGAGCTGTGTGGTCAGACCTCGTTGAAAGATGAAGGATGGCCCGTGTCCATAAATGCCGCTTGCAGATGGAGGCATTTTTTGGCTTCAAGGCCTCCTCGGTGTACGTAATGGCATGAACCTTGCCGTCTCGCACTTGGATCCTGCCCGCAGCACTCTCGCACATGCAACCGGATGTTATGGCACTCAGAAGATATTTCGTCGTAATTGTAATGTACTCCGGGAGATAGTCTTCTACGACGCTACGTCGATCATATCTCACGCCATCGCTACCAAATATAGAGATGCGAGTCTCATCACTCCATAAAACCCCATCTTCTTTGGTCCGTTGCAGACTTTTTGGCCCACTCGACTCTCATCTCTGTTTCTTAAGTATGGCATTTTTCCGCTGTCATTTAGGACTTTTCTGTCGTCTCCAGAGGTTTCTTTCCTGTTTTTCAAAGCCATCGTTACTACTCCACTGTCTGTGACGTTCTTGCTTTCTTTCTTGCTTTGAGCTTGGTCTTTGAGGGTTTCACATGTTTCAAAGCGTTTGAGCAGCTTCAGTGCCCCAGAAGCAGTTGCACAATTGCACTGTTTTCTCTGTAACTGTACCCTTCATCTCTAAATGTTAAAGGGGTACCCATTGTTTAGGCAACCGATGCACTCATTTGACAGGATCCATTGCAATATTATGGGGGGAATACATGAACCAGGAAATCACTTAAAAGTAAAATACATTTTCTTTGGCTGACACAAAAAGTCATACATCCAAAAAAGGTAATAAAAATGCTTATATCAAATATTCACATCATAGAATGACATCTGTAATAGTAGTAGACATACAGTACAAAAACTTTCGCATTAATGGCAAACAAACATTAACTGCAAATCATGAATTTCTCTCTAAAATATGTACTTGTAGCAAAAGTCACTTAGTTTCACTTATTTAATGAAAAAATTGGAATAGAGCTATTCTCCGGCTGATAACAACGAGGTATCACTCGAATCGGGGTATCACTCGAATTGTATCGGGGTGCGCCTTCGCACCCCGATAACGGTAACGAGGAGTGCCATATTCAAATATACTTGAAAAAACGTGATATATTGTTAAGCGTTCCCACAATTTTGGCCAATAGTGTAAAATCGTTAAAGTAAACCAGGAATACTCACGGTTTGACCTCCGCCCTGAAGACACCGCCTCCTACGGAAGACACTTCAGTGGCATTCCTCCGCTGACACTCTTTCATTTTTCCCCAACAGCTAGTGACTCCTCCAGTTGCTCGGCCTACTTGGAATCTCGTGCGCCTTCGCTTCGGCTAAAACCTCCTGTGAGAAAGGGGATCGGAAGCCATCGCGAAGCCTAAGAACACTATATTACCAAAGTATTCGGACAAAGGAGGATATGACATCATTCCAAATTCAAACTCCGTCAGTTCCGACCCACGCGCCATCTGGCAAATACTGACTGTAAAAGATTGCAGATTACCTTTATATACTACTGGATTACCGTGCTCTCTACAGAGAACATGATTCTGGGAGAATCTGTCATCGGCGGATGTGGCCTTGTCCAAATACTTCTGGTAATATAGTGTAGAGCAGACGATGTCCACGGGATTCCTCCTCTCGCCCGTCACTTGATGGAATTCTTGGAAATCGGTCAGGCTATTTCATCACCTCCTGAAGCCGCGCTAAAAATTTCTCGATTATCTAGTTTCCCTGAAGGGATCCTAAGACTTGGTCACTCGATATGCTCTCCATGACACTCGCGGCCTGAAATTCCCCGGAACGCTTTCATTTCCCTTCCTCAAGTTTGGTATGACGCTCTCAAATTTCCAATCCGAGGCTATTCACCACTCAAAATGGGGTCATTAAACGCCAAATCGACCAGCGAGAAAGCTCGACCATCTTCAATTTTGACGAAAATTGCCATACACGTAGAAAAATCGATTTAAAGAATATAATTTCAACCAATTTTTTTTTTCCCACAGATTTCCAGATATATGCATTTTAATATGACCTAATTTTCGCTCCCAGCGCCCATACGGACTGGATTTGTAAAACTGTTTCTGCAATAACTTCCCCTCTAGTTAAGATATAAGCTTCATTTTGGTGGCACTTTTAATCGTGAGATTGCCCTCTTTAAATTGATTCTAAGTATTATCCTCCTAAGCTGAAACAAGAAGTTCCACAATATCAAATAATTTTACCAAAGTCAGTGGCCAATATCGACACTTGCCACCTCGGAAATTCTTTGTTCCAATAATTCATTTAAAAGTGTATGTTATGCCATTTTGGACGATACCAAGATCGAGATTGGCACTCAATGGCTTGACGAGATATGAATTTTTATCTGCGGCAGTTGTGCCAAAATTCCACTTGCCCGTACGCTTCGACCGACTTCAATGTCCAACCAATGCACTTTCCACTCCGTGAATCTCGACTTATAATACGTCAATGAAAAGGGACTGCTATTGCCTTTCTAATGACATCAAATATAAGGTTCGCACTCAAGGGGTTCATGAGGTATAACAGTTTGATTGCATCGACAATGGATTTATAGTTACACCTGAGGAATCACAGAAATATAACCCAATGTTACGAAGATGTTACGAAGATGTAATCTCACAATTTAAATGACACCAATATGAAGCTTATATCTTAACTGGATGGGAAGTTATTGCAGAAACAGTTTCACAATTTCTGTCCGTATGGGCGCTGGGAGCGAAAACTAGGTCATATTAAAATGCATATATCTGGTGATCTGTGGGAAAGAAAAATAATTGGTTGAAATTGTATTTTTAAATCGATTCCTCTGCGTGTATAGCGCTTTTCGTCAAAATCGGAAATGGTCGAGCTTTCTCGCTGGTCGATTTGGCGTGGAATGACCCTTATGCGACTGTTATCGCATAAAAACATACTGACTTCACGATAGCGTTTCAAAATACAATAATCGTGCTTATTGGTTGGCTAAATCACATGGTCCTTACCACCATTTACTGGTTTTAGCCCTCTGACGGGATGAATGTGACAAAAATGAGGATTCCCGTACAATTGTACTCTGAAAGAGTTCAGCTTTCTAAGCGAATGAATAAAAATGTGTCGATTTGAAATGGATAGGCTGCTAATGGCGTGCATGAGAATTGATTATATGTACCATGTATTTTATTGTATATGCCATAGAATAGATTTACCTTTTTCATCACACTCACCCCGATTGACCTAATTTCGAAATTTCACTTCTCTCTTCTCAAAAATTAACTCACGCCCGTTATTCACCTGCTCTTTACGCGGTTTATTCAGGCGGAAGATGTCGAGGTGGCTCCTGCACATCGAAGCACGCCTCTGTGAGTGCCAGTACTACAAGTACCGGTACTGCATCGACAGGAGGCGAATGCGAATTTCAACCACCACGGTTCCAGTCTTTTCTTTTCCACTTTAATTCTAGTTTAAGAAGCAGGGGTGTTTTTGAACTGCAGACACGGTTGCGCTCGGTTGGAAAGCAGACAGCAGGCAACCGACAAAAAGCAAAGTATTAGTCATTCGAGATATCGGCAGTGAAGCATAACTGCCACGTGAGCGAAGTGAAAAGAAATTCGGAATTGCTCTTAATTACCATTGTTGTTACAAATTGCTATATTCTCTCTAGGTGAAGGAAGACGCACGCTTAAAAATTTCCTCCTGATATTTAAAATAATAACGAAGTTACTTAGCGTTCAGCATAGCTGAAAATCCCTTGGCAAACTAACTTATGGGACAACCTGTATATCAAATGTATACATCGCATGCCGGTTGAACAAACCCTTGTTCATGTTAGCCTGGATTGCACATTTTCGTGCAATCCATGGCCCATGACGCTGAGGCCAATGCTATTTCTATTCACACATTTCAACGAATCTGAAACGAATAGCTACGGGCTGCATTTATGGAATGACGTGATTTTTCATGGTATGCAGCGTTTAGAGGTATTTGAAAAGGGGACTTCCTTAGAGTCCTTGTGCCCGAATATATCTATACTAGCTAGAAACTACTATATCTATAACTCGCGGGTGTGGCGCCTTCGGCGCTCCATTCCCAGAATAGTGATTCATTCAATAATTTATATTCAAAGTGGCAAAAACGTATTAAAAGTATGTGCCCGTCGATATGTGTACGGAAAGGGAACAAACTTTTTATGCATCGTTTCTTGTGTGCGTAACTTCAAATCTTTCCATAATCTGCCCTGAGGGGTAATAATTGTAAGGGTCATAAGTAAGAGATGTACTAAGCAATCGAATAGGTACTTCTCCAAGTTTTAACTTTCTTTAGTTTTCTCCTTATCGAATCAAAAAAGTTTCCGGAAAAGCGCCTTCATCTACAAATAAGCCCTCAAGGGTTTTACCTAAAATTTACTGTTTTTAATGAAATCAATACTCGGAGAACTATGTGCATACCAAGTTTCAGCCGTATTCGTTAGCTCTTTTTGCTGGTGCAAAAATATGCTTGGAGAAGCTGACACCGTCAAAAGCTGTGCCCTGGGGGTATACACCACGAAACTTGATTTTTTCTGAACTCACCATCACCTCAGTTATTGCTGTGCCAAGTTTCACATTTCTAACTCTGGACAATTCGGTAGGATTAAAAAAAATATATATTTGAAAACGTCACTCCCCAAAAATATGCCCCCAGGGCATGCATCTGAAACTTGACATTTTTCCTGAAATTTGCATCTCAGTAGGCAAGTCCATGTCAAGTTTCAGATTTCCATGTCTCTCCGTTTAACTGAAGCAAATATATATCATTGAAAACATATCCCCCCCAATAATGGGTGCCCCCAGGGCATGTACCTCCAAAATCGGATTTTTTTCTCAACTCTGCATCTCAAAAGGTACATGTGTACTAAGTTTCAGATTTCTAACTACTCTAGAACATGGTTAGAATTAGCGTCAGTCAGTCACTCAGTCAGTTACGATCGTCTATACTCGTATATTACTACTAACGAGTTTGTTTGCCCGAAGGACAAAGAAACTCGCTATGGTCGCGCCTTCGGCGCTCCATTACCTTAGACAGTGATTAAAAATGGCAAACCCGTATTTAAAGTACGTCCCCATTGAAATACGTGACATATGGGGACGAAAGTCTTCATTTTTATCAAAATCATTACTTCTGTACTAAACAGGTCCTGCGAAGGACGATTCCAGGGAAAGAGGGAAAGGATCTTTCGCGTGCTGTGCGAAAAGGGAGACCCTATACCTACATCTAGAGGCCAGGCGAAAGTACTTCAAGGTTTTGAAGTTCTCCACCAGGAGGGCTGCAGCTCTTTGCAACGTGTGAATATGCCCACATGGGGCCAACAT